AACTGAACGCAAGGTTCAACCACGCCAACTACGGGCTGCAGGCTGCACACAGGTACGTGCACCTGGGCTGGGACGGCCAGGCAGCTCAGCAGAGTTGGTGGCCCCAGAGGCATAGGAGCAGGGCATGCCCCAGGCTAAACCTGTCAGGACTTTTTACTCCTTTGGTCATTCCTGCTCCTGTGCCTCTGGGATGCCACAGCAAAGCCAAGGAGGGGGGACGCAGGGAGCTCAGCGCTGGTCTCATGAGACCTGTGCCACCTGCCATGCCACCTTTCACAGCACGTGCCCCTTCACTCTGAATTCTAAACAAGATCCACAGCGACCCTCCGGCTGACGTCCACCAGGAAGACTCCACTATCCACACGGACAGGCCCCACACTCAGGCCCAGCCCCCCCTGGCCCTCCTCACTGCTGTGGCCTCTGTCCTGCTCCTCTAGGACCCATGACCATGGCCACCCTAGAACTCACCCCCAGGCGTGCAGTGCCCCTGGATGTCCCAGGACCCTCTTGCTTGGGACATCTCACCCCAGCAGTTCTGACCAGGAGCGGCCCTCCCCCCTGGCCACACTCGCCTGGCTCTTCCCCCTCTGGGGCCACTCCTCCTCTGTGGCCTTTGGTCCCTCCCCCACCTGACCCAGGAGCTTGGTGTTGTCCCTGTCTCCATTCCTGCTCCTCTCCCCTCCTCCCCGACAGGTTCCTGGATTTAAAAATAATCAAGTAAAATATTATAAAGACTTCATCTAGGCCAAGCAGGCAGCGACAGCAGAGAATCAGTTCTCACAAGTGTGTGCAGGAAAAAATCACGTAGCTCAGGGCTGGGCTCACGAGGTGGGTGTGCGACTCCAGCTTCTTCCAAAACACGGTGTTTTCAGGATGTAGAAGACAGGTAGTGACAGCAAAGGACGCCTGGGAATAGAGGGACTCACAGCTCAAACCTCCTGTGCAGTCACCAAGCGTTGGCTGTCTCTGAGCCCACTCTCCCCCCGAGGGTCACACTGTTTGAGTAGCCTTGGTTTGGGGTTTTGGCCACACCGTTTTTCTGTTTTGTCTTTTTTTTTTTTTTTTTGTTCATTTGGGAGCAAGTCTTAGGAAAGGATATATATGAAAGAGTACGTACAAATATGCTTACTCTTTTATCTGTATTCTCATTTCTTTCTTGTCCTTAACCCACAGGAATCCTGCAGATGTGCATCTCTCTGTGCGATCTGCACACAGGCACGTCTTGTCTTGACTGTGGCTCCCCTCCCTCCCACCCTATCTTACCCTACATCTCTCCCCTTCCCATGGTTCCCTTTCCCTTCCCTCACCTTTTTTTCCAGTGTATGAAAGAAAATATGCAATTCTTGGGCTGTTGTTTTTGTTGTTGTTGTTGGCATATTTTTGCTTAACATGATGTCCTTCTGTGCCATCCATTTTCTGACAATGACATGATTTTGTTCTTCCTCATGACTGAGTAATACTCCTTATATAAGTGGACCACATATTCTTGGTCCGTTTATCTACCTCCAGGCTCCCAAGCTGATTCCATTACTTGGTTAGTTTGAATAGTGCCAGTTGACATCGGTATTCAGCTTGTAGTAGACTTTCAACTAAGATGCTGTGACGTGTCCAGCTTGGATGTTTTGGCTCAGGACTGTTCTGGCTGTTGAGGGTCTTTTGTGCTTGGGTCTGAATTTAGAATGTTCTTTCTAGTTCTGTGGACAATGTCACTGGATCTGTAGATCATTTGGGGTGGGACACTTTAACGCGACTGTGTCACTCCATGAACATGGGAGGCCTTTTCACATTCTACCGTCTCCTTCAGCCTCTTTCTTCAGTTTGGGTCATTTTGTAGAGGTCTTTACGTTTTGTTGGTTGGGTTCTAGAATTTTTTTTTTGAGGCTCTTGTGAATGGCGTTAATTCTTGGAGATCTCATTACTGACATATAGAAAAGCTCCTGAGTTTCACAAGGGGCTTCTGTGTCCTGCTGCTCTGGTTCTAAGTGTCTTGAGAGGAGGCTCAGCGTTTCCTGGGGGCGTGATCCTATCAGCTGCAACCAGGACAGTGTGGCTTCCCCCTTCCCTGCTGACCTTCAGTCTCTTCCTCTCACCCAGTTTCAGAGGCTAGAATTTCATGGACTGATGCATAAGAGTGGTGAGGATGCACTCCCTGGGGTAGCTCCTGGTTCAGATGAGAGGCTTCCACTTCTCCCATTTGCCATGTGAGGTCTGTCACGTTGCAGTGGGACCCTCCATACCTAATTGGTTCAGGACTTTATCCTAAAGGAATATTAAGTTTGTCCAAGGCTTTTCCTGCTTCTGAAGATTCTTCAGTTTTATTTTGACTCTGCTTTGATTCCCTATTACATTTTCAGTTTGTATATAGAGAGCGAGCCTTGCATCCCTGGAACGAAACCGACTTACTGTGATGGAGATCTTTTTGACGTGCCGCTGACTTCACTTTGCAGCATTGAGGATATTTTCATCTAAGTTCAACAAGGATGCTGGTTTATACCTTGCTCTCTTTTTCTTTTTGTTGTATCTTTATCAGCTTTTCACACTAGGATAATCCTGGCTTTGCAGAATTGGAAGAGGCCCTTCGCTCTGTGTCTTAGGAACACTTTGAGGAGCACTGCATTAGTTCTTCTTTAAAAGTTTGGTGAATTCACAGTGAGTCCCTCCAGTCCTCATCTTGCTTGTTAGAAGACTTTGTATTACTGCTTCAATCTCAATGCTCCTTATTGATCATTTAAGTTTTTACATCCTCTTGGTTCAATTTTGGAAGGTTTTATGTGCCCAGAAATGTGTGCATTTTTTTTGAGATTTTCTACTTTATTGACATATCATTACTCAAATTTTCCCTGGTAACATTTGAATTCCAGCAGTTATCTGTTGCAATGTCCTCTTTTCACCTCTAATTTTGTTTTGGAAGTTCTGGCTAGTTAAGGGTTTGTCAATTTTGTTGACCTTTTCAAAGAATTCTTTGTTTCATTGATCCTTTGTGTTGTTCTTTTAGTCCCTATTCTATTTATTTCTTCCATGATCTTTATGATTTCTTTCCTTCTACTGACTGAGTTTAGTTTGCTCTTTTCCTAAGACCTTGAGATGCATCCTTAGGTTTCTAGTGGAGGTATGTTTTAATGCAGGCTCTCGTGGCTCCAACCTCCTCTTTGTGCTGCTCTGCTGTTTCCCACAGTTTCTGCTATGGGTTGTGTTTTCATTCAGTTCTAAGAATTTTAAATGATTTTTAGTGATCCATTATTCGTTCAAAAGTGTATTATTCCATCTCCATGTGTTTGTATAATTTCTGCAGTTTCTTTTGCCTTTGATTTCTAGTTTTATTACATTATGATTTGATAAGGTATGCAAATTTGTTTCAATTCTTTGTTTGGATAAGACTTCCCTATGGCCTAATATATAATCTGTTTTGAAAAAAGTTTCATAGGTTGACAAAAAAATGTATATTCTGCTGATGTTCGATGGAATTTTCTGTAGATGTCTGTTAAGTCCATTTGATTTATAGTATAACTTAGATGTTCATTTGCAGTATTGTTTTTCTTTTGGGGGGGGTGTTGAGGTTTTGTTTGGGTTGATTTGGTCATGATGCCCTGTGGGTGAGAGCGGGGTGTTGGATTCACCCTGTTCTTATTGTCTTGGGCCCTGTCTCTCTCCCTTTATTGTTAATAGTGTTTGTTGATAAGATTGGGAGCCCCAACATATGTTTATAACTGTCATATCTTCTTGATGAGCTGCTCCCCTTATCAATATGTAGTAGCTTAAAGCCTGTTTTGTCAGGTATGAGTAGGGTGGTTCCTTTTAGAGTACATTTTCTTGGAATACCATTCTCCATCATCGTTTTCAAGGTGTGAACTTTTTTGCTGATGAGGTGAGTTTCTTGCAGAAAGAAGATACAGGCTTTTCTTTTTTAAACTAATCACACAGTTTGCATATTTTAATTGGAGAATTAAGACCATTTATATTCAGGAAGGTCTTTTTTTCAGTTGTAGATAGACTTTATTTTTATGTAGTCTGAGGATTGAGCCCAGAGCCTCAGACCTGCTAGGCAAGTGCTCTAACACTGAGCCACACCCCAAGCCCATCCAGGGTTATTTTTGAAAGGTATATATTTGTTCCTAACGTGTGATTTTATTTTGGGTATTTTACATATCCTATATTCATTTCTTCATCTCTTATTCTTCTTGGAGCTTGAAGTTTTTGTGCATTAGTACTGTTTGATCCTTTACTAATTCTCCTTTGCTAATCTTATATTCCAGTGAACTCCACTTTTCGTCTATGCCTTCATCATTGTCTACTGTTCTTCCTCTTCAGGGTGTATGATCTCCTTAAGTACTTTCTGTAAAGCTGGTTGACTGGTCACGAGTTGCCTTACCTCGAGCTTCTCTAAGGACTTCATTACTTCCTCTATTCTGTGTGGTATCGACTTCCAGTGCTGAGACTCAGTCCCTCACCTCCAGGAGAGTAACAGCTGTGGTTTTATTCCCATCCTATGGAGCAGCAAACTAGTGTTGGCTCTCTCTTCCACCTTCTTTCTGTTTTCAGAGATTCACTGTTCAAGTCCTTCAGTAGCTCTTTGTAGATCACTGATAAAGATTAATGATGAATTCATGCAGATCTTTATTTGGTATCGAGTAAGTTAAAATTGAAGGACTTTATTCCTGATGAACAGATAAATAGAGTTCATGTTTATTATCACATACTTAGCACAGTCTCATCTGGTTGTTGACATCATTCTAATTACAGATTAGGAAACCAAAGATAAAATGTTTCTTGCCTTTTCCAAGATTTCACACCTGGTAAGTGGCACGATCAATGCAGAGGTAAAATTCTGTATCTAAAACCAAGTTCTTAACCAAGAAACTATATTTCCTTACCTTTCTAGAGATATCAATTAAAAATAAAACAGATACTATGGTGCATTTGAGATCATTTACCACAACTTCTTTATAAGCAAAATTCATGCACACTTCTTCATATTACATTCCCTATAATGCAGATTTCTCAGCCATCAGTCTACCTTCAGTGACGACCTGCCAAATCACATAGTCACAGGAAGAGTGCGGATGAAGCCAAACGTGGAGGAGTTCACCGAGACGTCCGCCCTCTTTGAGGATGGCACTGAAGAGAAGGTTGACACTGTCCTCTTTGCCACAGGATACACCTTCTCTTTCCCCTTCTTGGAGGATGACTTAGCAATCCTGGACAGCCAGCATTCCATGTATAAGTTGGTCTTCCCTCCTCAGCTGGAGAGGCCAACGCTGGCTTTCATTGGCCTCCTGCAGCCCGTGGGGGCCCTCATCCCCACAGCAGAACTCCAGAGCCGATGGGTTGTGCGTGTGTTCCAAGGTAGGCCGGCTCTCCTGGGTGAGCAGCCGGGGTTCCTAATTATGCACGAATGGCAAGGCACCCGGAGCCCCTCTGTCCACTTTACCTCCTACCACAGCACCTGAGATTTCACCATTAGAGATTCATGGCTTTTGGACTCTCTGGAAGTTTTAGTTTGATTTTCTAAGAGAATTCTGTTAAGAGGAAAGTAACCAAATAATAACAATAGAAAACATGTAAAACTGTCATCAGGCTACATTTGAGTACTGGATATCCATTCACTTAGTTCTTTTCAGTAGAAAGTTGATTTAAGGGAGAGCATTATGGAAGCAGAAATTGGCCAGGGCAGAAGGCCAGCAGGGAGACCCTACCTGTGAGCAGAATGCAGAAGGTTAGAGAAGTCACTGTATGTTTCAGGTAAACTCCAAATACCTGGCTCTTATTCTGGCTCCCTTCCCAAGTCCTTACCCAGGCTGATGCCCCTGAACCCAATAACCCTGGGGCCAGACAGAAGCCAGGCTCCACTGGCAGAGTGGCATGACAGCTTCTGAGAGCCAGAGAAGCTGGCTGAATCCCATGTGGCCCCCTCCCTCGCATCCCCAAATAACTTTGATATCTTCCCCATGCTCCGAAGAATGAGAAGTCAGGGTTCCATCTTCTCAGGACATGTCTTCCCTGATGGGTCACCATGGGCATACAGAGTGGCTGCCCTCACCGAGTCCTCTGCCTTCTGAGCCATGCACTTGCCAGTTAGGTGAGTCAGGAAGCTATCTACTGCCTGCTTTTCACTGCATGAGGCAGGAATGTGATCCAAACTTTTTTTTAAGACATGAGCCTAAGGTAAGGATCTTTTCAGACAGACCTGCCTCTGTGATCCTTCTCTGTCTAACCTCATTTCCTGAATGAGGATGTGTGATCTGGACACATATACTCACAACTTGTCCATGCCATGCCGATGGCCACTGAGGATGACTAGAAACAATGATGCCATCAACAACCTAACACCTGTGATTAGTTGAGCATGTGCATCTCTTGGGGACTTACCTAGAAGGAAAACTGATGCTCCACAAGGTGTGCACATGTGAAACAGCTTTTAATGAGAGATGCCCTTCCATTTCCCAAGTCTGCTCATGCGCATACACTGCATCCTCTGAAGTCTGTGTTGTAGGACATTTCGTGGTTCTCATGAGGAGATCACACTTCTGTGCTACATCTGTGGCACCCGAGGGTTTGGAGAGAGCCCAGGTAAACGGGGTTCCAGAACCATGTGGCTGGCAGCCTGGCTCTTCCTGGACGTGCATGGGAGCTGGCCGTGGTACCTACCACCTGCCTTTCCCAGGATGCTTCTTGACTGGATCTCCAGCTGTCCATCAAGGGGGCAGGGAGGCACACACAAGACACCCGTACATGATGGCAGACACCCCATGGCTCCAATCTGACTGGCATCCAGTTTATACCACCTGACGCTGCTCTGGTGCTGGAACCCAGTGTTGTTTCCTGTTTGGAACCTAGGACAACCAGGCCTGGGTGGCCCCTCGCTCCTCTGAGAGATGTTCAAAGACTTACCACTTACACTTCCTGGCAGAGGGCGGAGGAGGGAAGCCTGTACTTTGTGTGCAGGTCACCGCAGACCCGACGCACAGTAGGACTCAGCCTTTAGAGTTGGTGGGACCCAGCAGTGAATATGAAGGAACGGGGTGACTGCAGGCCAATGCCTAAGGGTTCCCTTAGAGGAGGCAGGGGGAGCACAGAGCCCAGACTGAGAGTGGGAGGAGCCTACAGGTCCCTGGTCTGCCTGCCCTGGGTGGAGCTGCTTGCTTTAGTGGCTCCCTCCAGTGCCTGAGCAGCAACCTCACCTGCTGTCCCTGTAACCCTGACGAGGCGCAAAGCATGTAGTTTAGAAGTCAGTGCACCTGCTTCTCCTGTGCTGTCCCCATTCCCTGTCTCCTCCTGACCTGACCTGCACTTCCTCACGCCTCCTCTCCCCCACGTATACACGCACACGCCCCACCTTTCACTTTAGCCACTTGTTTCCTTATAAAATGCAGCAGCTACTGTTTGTCCTGGGAGATTTTGCATCAGCGTATGTTTGTGAATACACATAAGAGGTGACATTTTTCCAATGCCTCTGGGGACTCAGAAAACTTTTTTTTAAGACATGAGCCCAAGGTAAGGATCTTTTCAGATAGACCTGCCTCAGAAGCTGGTCACAGTAGAGTTTGAGGATCTCTGGAAGATAAAAGTGACCCAGCAATCTCATACTGGGTATATATATCCTTCAAGGAAATGAAATCAACATGTCAAAAAGACCCCTGCACTCCTGTGTTTACCACAGCACTGCTTACAATACCAGGATAAGGAAGTAGTCTTGAGCAAAATAAATCAGACCCAGAAAGACACCCATGGAATGCTCTCTCATGAGAGGCACCTCAGAGGTGATCCCACAGAGGCTGGGAGATGAGCAGTGGTGGAGACCAGAGAGCCGTGAAGGGCTGCACCCGGATAGGAGAGGAGCTCTGGTGCTCTGTGGCACACCAGGCAACTGCAGTTGACAAGATGCTCTGTCAATCTCAAAGTAGTGGAGAGAGATCTTCAAAGTACCCACTTTAAAGAAATGACAAAGATGACGGTGACGCATACCCTAACTTCCCTGCATTGAGGACCCCGCACACACGGATGCAAACCTCACACTTTAGCTCATAAATCTGGGCAAACATCATGTGTCAACCACAAGCCACATGTTTGGGGGAATTCTTGGCATTCAAGAACTTTCACTGTGTATTGCAACTGAGAACCACTCAACAGCCTGCGTCTCCTGGGGAAAGCTGACTCCATCCAGCCCAATCCTGAGAATGCCAGGAGGGAAGTTCACAGGGGTCCCTAAGACCCGATTATGACAACTCTCCTCTTGGAAAACCTCTCTGTTTACTCCTCTCCCAGCCCTCCTTACATTTCTCTCTTGCTTTGTCTTAGGACTGAAAAACTTGCCCTCAGAGACTGACATGCTGGCTGAGGTCAACAGAAGGAAAAGGAGAATGGCCAAAGAGTAAGCACACCATCCCTGGCTGAAGGACACCAAACTCGTTCCGCAGGTCCTACTGGACCTCTGTTTTTGAACAAGGCACCCTAACAAGACCCCTAAGACAATTCTAGCTCTGTGACATTATGGTGACAATGCACATGGGGACAGGTGTGGAAAGCCTGGCCAGAACACCAGTCTCACTGGTGAACACACAGGATCTCCAGTCCCTGCAGTGAGAGGCCTCTACAGTGAAGACCAGAACACGCAGACCAGCCTGTGCTCACTGCCAGAAGCAAGTCAGAAAAACAAAGGAGAAATAATCTGTTCAGAATACAGAAAACACAACACACTCCTCAAGACACAATCAAGAGTAGTTCATCGGGGCTGGGGTTGTGGCTCAGTGGTAGGGCGTTTGCCTGACACATGTGAGGCACTGGGTTCGATTTTCAGCACCACATATAAATAAACGAATTAAATTAAGGTTCATCGACAACTAAATATATTTAAAGAGAGAGAGAGAGTAGCTCAGGAACAGGCGTACTTACTTCAGTGTGGTAAAGACTTACTCTGAGTGCTTTGCAATAAACCTGTGCTCACTCGGGGAACTTTGGAGATGATCAGGTGCCCTTCTTACCATTACCTAACTAGACCCACAGTACAGGCCATACAACTAAACAGGACATGTAAATGCCATTTGTCTACTTGAGTCTATTGTTGGTTGTTTATATTTTCATTGCTGGAAAAAATGAATTTCCTTTCTGGATTTTGGTTATAGCTTCCTGTATATTTATTTGTAATCAGAACTTGATTTTTTACTATTTTGTCAGTTATAATAGATATTTATATGTTTTTAGATTTAATATATAGACTAAAAAATTTGACTAGATGATTAATTCACATTTTTATGATTTGTTTCTTCAAAAGAAATTAATATCCACCAAAATTTGAAAAGTTTTGGTACTTTTAAAATAGTCTTTAATAGTTTTTATCACATATCCCCAAAAATACCTTACCAGCATTGTTTTTTGGTTGTTTTGGTTTTTGCTACTAGGAATTGATCCCAGTGGCACCTAACCACTGAGCCCTATCCCCAGCCTTTTTTTTTTTTTTTTTTGTATTTTATTTGAAGACAGGGTCTCACTGAGTTGCTTAGGGCCTCACTAAATCGCTAGGGCTGGGTTTGTACTCATGACCTCCAGCCTCAGCCTCCTGAGCTGCTGGGATTACAGGCATGCACCACCATACCTGGCTACCAGCATAGTTTTTAATGTCCAAAGTCTGAAATAGTTTGCAGTTGTTCAGTGTTCAAGGATACAGTTACTGTACAGAATCAATACATGGAAACATGCATTAAGAAATTTAAGAAAAGTGTTTTAAGAAATAAGTAGAAAAGAAGTTCCCTGGAAACTCAGGGGACAATATGGACTCAAATATGACATAGGGCTTCCAACATTGTCCTTCTTATTCCAGGTTTGTGGACAACCCAAGAGATGCATCTCGAGTGAACTACATCGACTACATGGATGAGATTGCTTCTGAGCTAGGCGTCAAACCCAACCTGCTCTCCCTCTTCCTCTGGGATGCCAAGCTAGCCAGGGAGGTTTTCTATGGGCCCTGCACCCCATACCAGTACCGCCTACAGGGGCCCGGCAAGTGGACCGGGGCCCGGGCAGCCATCCTCACCCAGAGAGCCCGGATCCTCAAGCCCCTGAGAACACGTGTGCTCCAGCACTCTGGCTCCCGTTCCTCTAGGTGGCTTTGGGTCACAAGTGTCTGTGCTGTCATCTTTCTCTCTGCTTCCATGGTCATCATCTTGCAGATGATTGGTCATTAAGCTCTCGTGGGCACAGATGGGCCTGGAACCAGAGAAGAACAAAATCATATAGATTTGAATTGTAGCAAAGAAAATTGATTAATTATATGTACACTGGGGCCAATTGGTTACATGGGGAAAGAGTTTTATCACATATGCCCATTTAAATCAGAACCAAATAACTCCAATAATGATTTCCCGGGGTGCTCTTGTGAGGAGGTATTTGTAAAATGCATAGCTTATTTCTGCTTTTCCAGAAACTATCTGACTTTCCTGACAAGCTCACACACAATGTGGCAGCAGGGCGTGATAAACTGTGGGGTCAGTGAACAAACAAGGGTACAGAAAACAGCGAACCAAGCGTGGGTTCAAAATGGCACTCTAGTCTCAGAGCATCTCCTCACACATACCCCGAGTTCCACAGAGACTATCTCTTCAGTGGGAAACGTGACGGCTAACCTGTCACCAGCTGATGGAACAGCACTAGCAATGGGATACCAACCTGAAATTTTGCAAGTGCAGACAGGATGCAGTGAGAACATCACCTATCTGGTGTTTTTGCTAAAAATGTTTAACTTGAGCTAAATCACGAGGAGCACTGAGAGAAATGAAGAAGAGCTCCATGCACAAGACATCTTACATGTGCTCAAGGAAAGTCAATGTCCTTGAGAAGTAAACTAAGGAGACTAGGAAAATTCCCTGCCTCAATGGAGACTAAAGAGACTTGATAGCCAAATGTATGTTCTGGAAAACTGGTGGTTTAATCTAACACCATGGGTAGATGGTCTTACTGAGTTACTGATAGCATTATCTGGCACAGCAAGGGCTTATGCATATATAGTGAAATGAACTTGCACTAGAGGGTGTATATAGAACTAGGCAGAATAAAGCACTGTGAGATCTACAGCTCGTCTGCAAAAGGTACAGAAAGAAGTGTGTGGGGGTTCTCCAGGAGCATACAGGACGGACCACAAAAGGGACAAGGTTCTAACAGCTGGCAATGGCAGGTAAAAGGCAAGGCACGTTCATTGTTGTATTACTTCTGCTCTTTTGCGAATTTGAAAGGTTGAAAATAAAACATTTTAGGAAAGAATTTCTTCTCTGTAATGATTTAAGTCTGTGCCAAAGGCAGCTCACAAATTTCACTTTAACTTTTAGTAACCAAACCAAGGAGGAAATCTTAGGTCAGCAATGATAGGGCTTAGGCAATAAAAGCAGACCAACTGCTAAGAAGAAGAATAGCCACATTAAGTGTTAAAATGAGACGGGATCTCTACTGGGATTCTTATAGATGAGGAGACTATTGTTTAACCAAAATGACTTCTAGAGTCACAGCCTAACCCGGAGTGGTGGCACGTACCTGTAATCCCAGCCACTCAGGAGGCTGAGGCAGGAGGACGGCAAGTTTGGGCATTTTAGTGCAACCCTATCTCAAAAAGAAAAAGGGCTGTGGGTGTAGATCAGTGGCAAAGTGCCCTGGGTTCAATCCTTGATCTGGAAGGCAGGCAGGCAGGCCAGCCAGCCGGTCAGCTGGCCAAGACTGACTGCACGGCTCTCAATATGCATGAGAACTTTCATTGTGATCTTTTCCCCATCCTTTTTTTTTAATGATTTTGTAGTTGTAGATGGACACAATGCCTTTATTTTATTTATTTATTTTTATGGGTGCTGAGGATGGAACTCTGGGCCTCACATGTACCAGGCAAGTGCTCCACCACTGAGCCACAGCCCAGCTCTGTTTCCCCATCTTTAACCAAATTTTATTACTACCATACGTTTAGAACAGCTGATCTAATGTCTTGTGAACAATCTTTAAAATACTACTCCAATCAACAGAAGTCATGGCAGAGACGGGGTGTGGTTGGGAGAGTGCCTGGAGAGCAACGTTTAAGGCAGTTATTAGCAGATGATGGGTGGGCTCATGCCCTTTTGTGCTCCCGGGAAGCTGGGCGCTTTCCTCTAAGGAAGCTCTTCTCTCCTATTTGAGACCAAGCCCAAGGGGGAAACCACTCTGGGAGCCACAATCTGCTCCACACTGAAAAATGGCCGAGTAAGGCCCTCTGCACTACTGCGTTTAGCCCACCCTAGAGTTTTAACCTGAAAGCAATTTTTATCAAGGTTCCTGAAGAACTTTCATCTCTGAATTTTCTGTTGAACCCTTTAAGGCAAACTTAAATGTAACCCAATGTAACTGAATAACTTGATAACTTACTGTGAGAAGTTACATTAAGACGTGAGAAACACCTGTCAAACAGTAAGTTCTGTATAGCTGGCCTGCATCATTTTTTTCTAGCAATAATCAACTATCAGGGTCATTTTTCTATTTAGCCCCCTTGAATTTAGAAATTTTAACATTGCCTATACTTGAAAAATACTTAAAATTTAGAGAGAAGTGGGGGATATGAGAGAGTGAAATGTTCTGGGATCCAGGGTAAGGCTCCAGTATCACCTTCTAGAAAAGTCCATGGCTTTGCTGAGTTGCTCTCACTTTGACCTTTGACTTGAATCAAAAGGGCCAGTGGCTTGGAAATGCACAAGGCCTGACTTTTTTCCTTATAAGGTATAATGAGCTAAATACAATCTTCAAATGAAGATTATTTCAGGGTAAGCTGACTTTGGGGGTAACAGGCATAGCCTTTTTCTCACATGGGTGGAGACTTGACAGCATCAAGAGGAGACCGACGTTCTGCTGGCCTCCTGCTCCATTGGGAAGCTTCCACTAGAGGACTTCCACCTCCTCCTCCCTTTCCCTGGGCCCATCCTTTGCTCACCTGTCAGATGTGAAACCTCTCACTTTCCCCACCCCTTGGGATCACAGGTGTGAGGCAGCCACTGGGGGTAGGAGCACCTGCTGTGGAAATCTAAGCTCTCCCTTCCTGGGCACTGCAGGCTCAAGAGAAGCACAAAGGAGCCCAGGGCAGCTGCCTGTCACAGCCAGTCTCCTCCACTTCATCGCTATTCAGCTGACCTGTCTGGGCCGTATACTTGTCTCCAGTATCCCACCCCTGAATTGTTTCTGACTTCAGAAGGGAACTAAGGATGTGGGCAAGTATGACTCAGACTTCACAAAAACGTGCTATCATGAGGAATATGGAGGCAAAGAAACAGGATGAATAGGAGGCCACAAACAGGAGTGGAATTGGACCAGCACTGCGACACAAAGCAGGTAGGAGACGATGACTCTGTCAGGTCCCAAATGAGGAACCATGATGCCAGAGGAGACCCTCCAGCCTCACACCATCCACAGCACCTTTGCCAAACCTTGGAGGAGAAGAAAGGGGACACTTCACTACCAAATGGATATGAGTTTGTCTTCATGTGAAGCATCAAATCCTAATTTTACTATTCTAGGAAGTCTGCCAGCACCCTGCCCTTGAGGGTAGTGGTAAAGTTTACTAGACAAGATCCTCCATAACACTCCACTGTCCTTAAGATTCCAGTGACAAAAAGTGGGATTCCACTAATTCTTCCTATGCACTCCAAAAATCAATGCCAAGAGTCTACGCATGTACAAGGTTTCCCCTAGAAGTCTACAAGTGGGCGACCAGACCACAGGCTCTGAGTCACCCTTTCTCGCCCCACTGAAGCAGCAGTGTCCACTGTCCCCAAAACCACCAGTGCATGAGGAAGCAACAGAATCTGGTCAGCAGCTGCCCACAGGAAGCCAGGCCCCGACCCCATGTGGACTGCAGAGGGCACCAGAAGGCTGCAGCCCGTGCTCCCCCAGGACTGCCTGCTGCACTGCGGCCGGCTCCTTCCCCTGAAGGTTCGAGCTCAGGCTTCACCCCAGGGCTGGCCCTTCAGCTTTTCGTTTGGCTTCTGCAGGGAGCACCCCCCCTCCTCCCATTTGCTTCCCCAGGTTTACACAAAGTCCCCAGGGGCTCTCCCCTGAGCTCTTCTCCACCCAGGCAGCAGGTTCCCAAACCTCACAGCCCAGAAATCACTTCAGATAGCAGTGCCTTCTCTTGGTCACCTTGCCATGGTTGACAGCATAAAAGAAAGTGGAGCAGAGCCTTGGCGGCCCCGGCCCCAGGCTCGTCCTACGCCCCGCACGCACGGGTGCCCATTTCTCAGCAGCCACCTTTCTACAACTTTTTGTGAACAGTTCAGAAATGTTCTTCAACACCTTTCCTGACTTCTTCAGAAAAACACATAAACGAGTAAATGTCCTGGAACTTCAAAATTAAAATGCTGGCCCCTGACTTGTTTCTTTCTCTGATGATATCAAAAACTCTCAGTATTTTGGAGAAAATCACCTATCAAAATTCATTCTCTTGGGCCTCAGGCAACTGGAGTTCATAACATTGGTATAACTTTTCTAAAAGAGGAAGACGGGCAAGCTGCCCTGGCACTCGGCCCGGAGCGGCCGCCCAAGGGCGTTTCCCCACACCTGCACCTTCAGTTGACAGTACTTCTGTCACAGGGAGCGGCAGGCCTACAGCCTAGAACACCTGAAGCCTGAGACCTTGAGAGACTCTCCTGGGAACGCATCCTTTTCCTGGCGTGTCCTGCTTCCCCTTCTGCGTGCAGCTCTCACAACCCTCTGGGTGCTCTGGCTCCAGGGTCTGACACCTGTGCTCTGGAGACAGACAGCTGACGAGATGGAGGCTGCTGGCTCTGCCTGCCAGGTCTGCCAGCTCAGGCAAGCTGTGCAGCACCACCACGCTCAGTCTCCTTTTCTGAAAAATGGGGGCAATGGCAGTGTGTGACAATAAACTCAGCGACATGAGTTGATACACACAGGGGTTTAAAACAGCACCTGCCACATCCTGAGCAGTCAGAAAAGCAGCTCCGTTACCAAATATCAGCTTTATTTTCACCTACACTTATGTGACATGTGGCCAATTTGTTCCACACAAGGTCTGATATTCTTTGTGTGTGTGTATGGTACTGAGAAGAGACCCCAGGGCCCCCTTCACACTCAGCAAGCATTCTACCAGTGAGCCTCACTCAATTGCCCAAGCTGGCCTCAAACTTGTAGTCCTCCTGCCTCGGCATCCCTAGTAGCTGAAGTCATGGGCATATACCACCACTCCTGGTGAGGATATAGTATTTTCTGAGTGTAAAGAAAATTTCAATGAAACCTAGGTGGATCAACTTAAAAGCAGTTGAAAAGTTCATTTCTATTCCCAACCAATATCATGATTCTGTGCACTGAGTTCTCAAATTCCTTCAAACACGACCCCTCACCATGCTTGCCCTTGGCATGTGCTTGTGCACTAGGTCAGCAGCTGTCAAACTGCACACCTGTCTTTGCAAGACCCCCAACTGCTGTCTTGACCTTGGCCCATGTCCCTGTCCACTGGGTGTGCCAGAGTCTCAGAACAGAAGCTGAACAGCAGGTCCATCTGCAGTTCCCAGGTAACCCTCCAGCTTCTGGCCATCAGTCACGTATTTTAACTCCACTTGGCCACATTTTTTCCAATACTGACTCTTCAAAGTTGAATCTATGAAGACATAAAAAGCCATGGTGCCAATGGCCCAAGTCCACTGTTTTCTGAAAATTGTGGTTTGTGAATTAGCACAGAAAAATTAAAGTTCTGCCTTAAATACATCTCAAAGTTGATGCTGGTTTGGCTTCCAGGTCTGGGCCAGAGCAGTGGAGGGGGAAAAAGGCTGCCTGAGAGCTGCTCAGAGCCAGGCCAACACGCCAGCCAGGTGCCAGAGGGCTGATCACCAGCAAGCCCTCTCTCATGCCTTTTTGACATCTTTATTCATCAAAAAAGTACTGTGTTCAACTTTAAATGTTATAGCAAATATGCTTGCAGGATACGGTATGTCCTAAATTGCTTTCAGCTGCTCTATTTCTTACTTCATTGAATCAATTTTAGCCACGTCCTCCTTGACTCTTCCTTCAGCCTCAATACCCAAAAAATGTTAGCCGTGGAGGGCTCTGGAGACACCTTTCTGAAACCTCAAGGCTCCGTGTCTGATGGACACCGAGGCCCATCACAGTCCCACCTCATTTTGCCAGTAAAGCTGGACCAGTCACCTCGCGGAGTCTCCATGTCCTTCTTAGGGTTTTCCCGAGGGGAAAACACACACACACACACACACACACACACACACACACTTAACTTTAAGAGGCATTTT